TACAACTTGAGAATAGTATTAACTGTCCAGCGAGGACGTATAAGTTATAAGAGCTTGAGAAGAGTTAACAATATTCTACATAACGCATTCATAGAAGCATGTGAAGCATTGAGGTTATTAACCAATGATAAATAACTTATTGAATGTATTAAAGAGGTTGCTAAGTTGGGATTTGGGAATATGCTAAGAATGTTGTTCGTCCAAGTATCATGAGTCACCCACAAATTGTTTTAAAAAAACAATAGGAACTCCTGTTGAATGAAATTTATTTGACCGAATGTGAATATTGTGAAATCAAGTTACTTGAATATAAAGAAAGTTTTTAAACCTATCAATCCATCTGAAATGCATTATATGAAAACAAAACTCTTTAATTGAGTACTGCATAGAAACAAATAAATTTTTTTTGTAGCGCTTATGATCTCCCGAGAAGACCTAAAGAATTTATGTCTAATTGAGATTGAAGAGTTGCTTATTTGGAATGGACGGTCTTTAAAGTATTTCAGTGGCATGCCATTTGGAGATGACAATCAACTTAATAGATATCAAAAAAATTTCTTGGTAGAGGAGTTAAACTATGATAATGAAAAGTTGTCATTTGATCTTAGAGGATATTTATCTATGATGAATGAATATCAGTGGAATATATCTAATGAAATAATGGAAGTCGTGATAGCTGAAAGAGAGGGTTCTTTTTTGTGCATGGTTACGGTGGAACTCGAAAAATATTTCTCTAGAAATCATTATCTGCTTTTCTGAGGTCAAACGGTAATGTTGTCCTGAATGTCACATCCAACTACATTGTAGCATCACTTTTTCCTAGGGGAAGGAGACTCGAGATTTTTAATCCCTTTGGTGCCAACTGAGTGCTCATTGTATGCCATCAAACAAGGGAGCCCGAAAGTAGACCCAATCCAACAAGTATAATCACATGGGAATTATCATCTACGATGAATATATTTTCTTTTGAGACGTTGAATTGCACAATGAGAGATGTAATGAGTATATATAATAATAACTTCATAAATTAACCATTCGGAGGAAAAACAATTGTACTCAAAGGTGATTTTATCCAAATTCTTTCAGTTTTACTCATAGCTTTGAGAGTGGAAATTGTAGGCGCTACCACCAATTCCTCACAAATGTGGTTGTATTGTAAAATTTATACGTTGACCAAAAATATGAGATTGCATTAATCTACACTCTCTTGCATAGATAGTGACACAGAAGTTTTTTTTGATTAAATAATCAAAGTCGAAGATGGAAAATTTAGACAAGTGATCAATAAAATTGCTCACGTTGAAATCCCGCCTGAATTCTTGATTCTTGAAATAAGTTATCCCCTCAAGAGAACAATGGAATTCACTTATCCGAACCTACTAGAGAACATGAAAAATTATTTTTTTAAGGATAGTGGAGTATTATCACTCACGCTCGAGTTTGTTGAATGATAAATGAATTTGTCCTATCCCTTAAAAAAGAGTACTTAATTTTTGATTTTTCATGCAAAGTTAACAATTAGATAAAACTTTAGTTTTTTTAATAAAATCAAATGTTCCGGGATCCTAAACCACAAAATAATTTTTAAAACTAGGGTACCGATTATGTCATTAAAGAACATTGATCAAATATATGGATTGTGTAATGGTAGAAGATTAATCGTTGAGAAGTTGAGAAAAAACATTATCACTGCAATTGACGTTTTGGGAAATCAGTTGGGAAAAAGATTTATATACCCCGAATGAAATTGATATCATTTGATTCAGAATTACCTTTGAAATTCTAGAAAAGACAATTCTTAATATTATTATATTTTGTTATGACTATTAACAAAAATCTAGGTCAAACATTGTCTTTTGTTGTATTATTTTTAACCAATTCAGTATTTACTCATGGTTAGCTTTATGTTACTTTTTCACGAGTGAAGGCAAAGACATAATTAAAAATATTGGTTCTAGATGATAATGGAAATCCTTACAAGCATACCAAAGATGTTGTGTACCCTAAAGTCTTTCAAAAAAATTCGAATTAAAAAAGATTTTTTCGAGTACACTTCCAGTTCCTCAAATGCTATTTATTCTACTTTGTCGTTGTTCATTGATTAAAAATCGTGTTAGAAATATATTTTATTTGATTCCAGAAAATATATTATATTGAAAAAAATTGGAATCGACAAAAATTTTGTTCGACCCCGTGCGTCGCACGGGTAAAAATACTAGTTAAACAAAATTCACACATCAAAAAAAAATTGTAAAAAAACTGTAAAAAAATTTGCAAAAAATCTGTAAAAAATTTTGAATTCTAAAAAATTTGTAAAAAATCTGTAAAAAAATTTGAAAAAATTGTAAAAAATTTGTAAAAAGAACACATAAAGAAACTTCAATCTGTAAAAAAAATTGAGGGGTTTCAAGTGGAGGGGAGGAGAAGAAACGAAGCGTGAGGGGGGAAGGTGGATTTGCAGGGGGGAGGGGAATCGCAGGGGGGATCGCAGGGGAGGGGAGGGGAATCGGAGCAAGAGGGGGGAGGAAACCGAGCTGGAAGGGGGATAACATATCTGGGATGGAGTTGCAGCAGCGAGGTGTATCGAAGGGTTAGGGCGAGTTGGGCAAAGAGGATGGAGTTGCAGCGGCGAGGAAGAAACGGAGGGGCGAGTCGGGCAAAGAGGAATATCGAAGGGTTGGGGAAGGGGAATGGGAATCGAAAACACGGATATGTACAGGGGAATGGGAATCGAAAACACGGATATGTAGAGGGGAATGGAAAAAACCTAAATTGGGTAATGGAAAACCTGAAAGTGGGGAAAGGGAATGATTTTTTTAAAAACAAACAACAACAAAGGGAATCAGGGAATTCCATTCCGTTTCCCGATTCCCTTACCCCCTAACCAAATGCCCCCTAAGTGTTAGGGTTGAGGTCTTAAAATTGGCTCAGGTTTGTACACGTGAGCAATAAGTTTTCAAGTCCATATGATGGAAGTGAAGGTGTGGTTTTGAATTGTTGCTTGCTTCTGGTTTTTATTTTCTAAATAAAAATATTTTTAATTAGTTTCTTTTTCAAAATGAACACAAAAAAAATACTCCCCCGTCCCAGAGTATTTGTCCAGTTTGATTTTTTCGAGTCAATGTGGACAAACTTTGAGCTTCAATTAAATAAAAACCGTAAAGTATTTTAATATAAAAATGACTTTATTGGATTTATTGTATTGAGAACTTTGAAAATTGTATTTCATTATGCTAATATTTAATACAAATTGAGAGTAATTGGAGTTCAAAGTTTGTCCAGTTTGACTCGAAAAAGTCAAACTGGACAAATACTCTGGGACGGAGGTAGTATTGATGAACACAAAACAAAGTGATTCACAATTTAATTAATCGTAATAATCTTCCAGCATTAGCATTAAAAAAATCTTCTATCATAGAAAAAACAAAAATGCAAATAAAAGATTACCCCATGAAAATATAAAAATCAACAAAACATTACGGAGTAACATTAAAACTCTTAAAAGATTTAAGTGTTTTAAACATAAAAAAACACCTTGATTGGTAGGGGAAAGGACTTTGAAAATTGAGACCTGAAGGATTGATGTGCCGTAAATTGGACTAAAAGGAGTTTGTTTTTTAAAAAATCCCTAGTAAAAAAGACTTAAGGATCCAGAGCGGCACTGCACTTTTGTTTTAATTCTCCATAGATAGTTTTATTTTTATTTTAAACGCCATCGCTTTGAGTTTTAAAAGAAAATTTAATAAGACTGAAAATACCAATCGAGAAGCTAGAGAAAGGCCAGATCCATCATCCATCCCGAGGGGGCACTATGTCCGCCGCTGACTGATTCTTCATTCTACTAGGTCTGTCTTCTTTTTACCCCTAGTGCCTACGTTGTTTTCTATTTATTTTGAACATTTTAAGTTTCTTTCCTACAAAAGCTATACTTTTTTAACAAAATTAATTTAAACTTAAAAAATAAATATATCTAGAATAAAAAACTAAAACCCTAACAATACTAACATTAATAATTGATGTTTTGTAGGTTCCGAAAAAAATTGTAATCCAATTCTAACTGCTTAAACCTATGCTGCCCAACATTAGTGATTAGTAATGTCAAATAGTTCTCTATGACTGCACAACTTTTTCAACATAGTGCACTAAGTCCAACTTCTTCAACATAAGGCTCAAGGGTGTGCCCGCCGGAAGGGCTGCGGGAAGGCCGGGAAAGGGAGGGGAATTATAACCGCTTATAGCTCTTTGCCGGGGGCACGTGCCTTGGCGCCCTCCCACCATATCACTCCAACTACTAGAATTCCATATGTATGTACTCAAATGTAGTTCAAAACAATCACAAGCCACTAAAAACAATTCACAACCCACTCAAATGTAGTTCAAAACTTACTTGTAAAAAAAAATCATGCACTTTGCATTAGATTATTTACGGATAAGCTTTTAAGTAGACCTGTGGTAGAATTTTCAATTTGAATACAACAATGTCAAAGAATACCTATGTGTTTAATGGCTTCTCAAAAAAAGTAAAAAAAAAATCAACTGTAATGTGAAAAAAACAGAAAAAACCAAAAAAAAATCAAATGGTGAACAGAGTATAAAGTTAAAAAAACAGAAAAACAAGGCTTCACACATAAAGAACAGAGCATAAAACCAAACAATTCAGTTCATCAAACACTTGGTGAACCAGAAAAAAGGACTCGAGTATAAACCAGTTCAAAAAACAAAACAGAGTATAAAGATATCAGAAAAAATGCAAAAGTATATTGTTGTCTCACGTTCTTGTTAAGTGTGGCATTTCATCAAACACTTCGTGGGCATAATTTCAAACTAAAATATTTATAGCTATCAACCTATGTAATCACCAAGAGGTAATTCAAAGTAGCAAGAGTCAAGAAAGAACACAGATTTCTTACACTTCAGTATGAAATCATATAGATACACTTCAAAAATTAGAGATGTCATTTAACCTAATTGATAAACTGAAAAAGAATGGTATGTAGAACCTGGTTATGTCGCTAAAATCGTAGCTGGACAGTAGTCTTGTGGTCTCCGATCGTCTGGGCGGAGAACCCTCTTGTCGGCGAGGCTTCAATCCTTCTCCAGTGCCGCAGGAAGCCAAAGCCGGGTAAGCACCGATCCAGTAACTTCTATTTTTTTTTAATTGAAGGATACTCCTTTGCTCCCAAATTATTTGGCACATTTGTATTCTGGAGGCAAAATATCAAGTTTTTTAAATTTATTTTATTTACATATTATTAAAGAAATAAAAATTAAAATTTACATATAAAAAAAATTACATGAAAAGTTATTCGAAATAAAAGGTGTCAAAAATATTTTATTTTATCAAATAATCAATGAAAACGTCAAAATAAACAAAAGTTTCTGACACTGCTAAAAAAGAAATATTGTGAATACGGTTAAAAAAACTAAAATTTTCTGTATATATGCCCCTAACAAAAATTAATGTGACTCCATTTAATTAGGTTAAATTTAATTTTTTTGTTCAAATTTTTTAGTAATGTATATTTTATTGTACATAATTAATTATTTATACAATAAAATGCTACATTACCTATTAACAAGTATTTTACATTCAATAAATGTTTGAAATAGAATTTAGTATTTTTTGTCGTTTCATATAGTCTATTTAAAAAAAATTGACCGGATCCCTGACCAATGCCGCCCCCATCTATCTAAATTTCTGGATGTGCTACTAGAGTGATGATCAAGTTGATTTTAACTGATTTCAATTAATTACAAAAAGTTAAAAGTGGTACATACTCATACCCGATATAACATATTTTTATAGGGAATACTCCTCATTTGTTTGTAACCATTTCAGTTAATACGAATTAAAAAACAGTTAATATACAGTTATATATATATATATATATACTCAAGATGTCATATTTAACCTCAACTAGAAATCTCGAGTATATATCAACATCTTCTCAACATGCACTTGCTCAATTGGATGCACGCAACGTCACATTAACTAATTATGTCACATTAATTAATTATGTCACTTGCTCAACTGATAAAACAAATAAGAGTTATCGAGAGATACCATAATAGTAAATATGTAATTTTTTTTGGACGGAGGGTGTAACTAACCAATATATTTTGTTCCAATAACCATTATAATACATAAAATATAAAAGTTCTTGAATTGTATTTATCCGTGTAAATGTAAAACAAAAGTACTCTCTCCGTCCGGAAAAAAACTTCTCATTTTACTTTTTCTCCGTTCGGAAAAGAACTTCCCATTATACGTTTTCATACTCAATCTTCCTAAAATACCCCTTCCTAAAATAACAGTATGTAATTAAAAATATAAAATAAAATGTTTCTAATTAAAATAAAATAAATCAAGCAACTCTTTTTATGGTAAAAAATCACATTCACATCGGGAAAAAAATGTTATACGAAGTTTTTGTGCAGTATATATCATTGCAAAAAAAATCACATTAATTTTTGTTTAACTATATTCTAGCATGCTTGTTATAAATAGCAAGTTATTTTCATTTTTTTAACAAACTAGTCAAATTTTGAATAACCCCTTGGAGCAAGAAATTTTGTATATGCTTGTCAAATTATAACATATAGCAATTCATTTTGCTATGGTTTAATTAACGTACACCATGATGCTATATATATGTGCCATTTATATGTGAAAAATGTTAGGGGTACACCTTTGGTGTACCCCATTTGTCCCCCATCCCTTCCATCACTACAAAAAAAGGCAAGAAAATATAAAAAAATTAAACAAATAAAAATAAAAAAAATTGTATGGTGGAGAAATGGGTGGGGGACAAATGGGGTACACCAAATGGTGTACCCCTATCATTCCTCTTTATATGTTTCCGCCTTCATTCCTTTGTACTCTCTCCGTCCCAAAAAGTCTTTTATGTTTCATTTTTTGTGCATCTCATAAAACACTTCTATCCCGCCTTGAATGCTAAAAAAACTATCCAAATAACTTCTACCTACAATAAAGAAAAAATGTTATAAATTTTGAATATTTTAGATATCGGTAGAAGTGTTTTATGGGATGCGTAAAAAATGAAACAGGAAAGATTTTTTGGGACGGAGGGAGTATATATATGTTCACACCATAATCATGTGGTGTGTGATTATTGCCTCCTCCGAGCAGCTCATCATTCCACAAGCTAATAAGTACTCGTATTTTTTTTATACTCCTTATCTTTTAATTAGATAAAAAAAAGAAATATGATTGGTTGGAGTGAGTTGGGGAGCTATTAAACTAACATATAAAACTTGGAATAAATTATACTCTTTCGTCCCTGAAAACCTTTCTTCTTTCTTTTTTCATTTGCCCCAAAAATACTTCTTATTTCTATTAAAAAGTCACTTTTACCCCTTATTTTTCATACCTTAGTTATCACATCATACCTTTTTACTAATAATCTACCCATCAAATCCTACCTTTACTCATCACATCAGAGGACATTTTTAAAAATTTAATACCAAAATACACTCACCTTAAATATCTTCAAAATCAAAAAATCTCATGTTTAAAGGGACGGATGAAGTATAATTTAAGTCCCATGAAGCCCAAGGGCGGTGTAGGGGGTGCTATAGGACTCCAGGGGCATGATATATGGTGCCCATTACGCGTGCTCTAAAGTTCGGTTTACGTATTTCATTCAACTTATTTTCAGACTAATATAATTGATAATTGGTATAGAGTTAATATATCTACCCTAATACTCCGTATAATAAGAGCCTATAGCTCTTGTTTTTTTATTGTGACTTTAACTTAATTAATCATAGTCTTTTGTATTATTTTGGAATTATGATTTGTAAACAAAAATATACAGACCAACACATTTGTTGTGTAAGGGCATAAAGATATATTGGTGCAACAAATATTTTTACCTTAATTTTTTAATGTTTTGATGCATTAAAATTATTTTCTACTCTTACAAAAATAATTCCTCCGTTACATAAAACTTTTCTAGTATTACTTTTAAATGGCTTAAGATCAGAGTAGTGTACTTTGGTATTGACTTTCTAAAAATGTCTTTGGATGTGATGAATAAATATATGATGCAATGAGTAAATTAATAGTGAAAAAGTGTGATGTGATAGATATGTTAAACATTAGTAGGAATAAAATGACTTTTTAATAGAAATAAAAAAAAATTTCAGGCGGATGAAAAAAAGGAAAAGAGAAAAATTTTGTAGGACAGGGAGAGAGATATAATATAGTTTGGAATAGTTACAGTACCGTTCCAACTTAGAACTTATTCTTTATAGCTTAAAATTTTACTCTCTCCGTCCTAAAACTATCTTCTCATTTGTGTTTACGATGTTTGTCCGACTTTATTTTTCAATTCAATTTAATTGATTGTAGGTCTAAAATTAAAAAATGAAATTAATACATTTAAAAACTACGGACTACATCAAAAGTTTTACAAACAAGAGGTCAGTGACAAGACTATATTATTTTATCAAATAACTAACGAAAATAGGTAAAGAAAGTGATTTAAGTTTGACCGTGTAAATAATATTTGGAAAGATAATTTTAGGATAGAGGGAGTAACTTTTAGTATCTTCCAATTTCTTCTAGTTCTTTCCAGTTTCTTTCCATTTTTTTCAACTATTCTCATTTTTTCAAACTTTTTCTACTCCCAAAACAATTATTCTAAAACAATGTATTTTTAATGTGATGATGATGATGATGATGATGATGATGATAATGATTAGTATTATCTTCATTATTATTAATTATTATTATTATTGTTGTTGTTATTATAACTATTATGTTCCCAACTATACTTTATAAACTATTTTTATTTTAATTTTTTCCATGTCGTTTTACGATTCACACTCTTCTAAATTCATATGAGGAAAACATTTTTCAAATTAATTTTTTTTGAAAGTCAAAGTATTTCAGAAAAAAAGATTAAACTAGAAGTAAAACATAAAAATGTATCAAAATACGAGTTTTGTGTTTTTATTTCTAAAATAAGAGTTACAATGCAAATACAATGTCAATTATGGAAGAAAAAATATATTTGATCATATTATATATGTGACAAATATGATCTTTAAACTGAAATCTCGTAATATATAAAGTGTTATTATAGTCATATTATTTTATAATAAATACTGCATGAAAAAATCAAGGTGTAACGTAATCACAATAATTTCTTAAAATTTAACACAACATAAACACAACGAAAGTAGATTTTTGTGTATGAAAAATGACCATACTTTTTTATCTTAAAGACATTGATTAAAATAACATGATTATGAATGTAATTATAATAATAATAATAGTAATAATAATAATAATAATAATAATAATAATAATAATAATAATAATAATAATAATAATAATAATAATAATAATAATAATAATAATAATAATAATAATAATTGTAACAACAATTAAAATGAGAATAATATAAAAAATAAACTTAAATATAATTTTAAAGGTTTTTTAGATTTTCCAATTATTTTTCTAGTTTTTCCAATTCCATAATTTCCTCGAGATTTTTCTAATATTTTCTAATTTCTTTTCGTTTATTCCAATTTCTTCAGCTTCTTTCTCCCTCCTTCCAACATCCATCTATCAGTCGTAAAGAATAATCCAATGATACCAAAAGATTTTGATGGTAAACTGAAAATCCGAATCCGTGACCCGGCCCACCCCTACCTCAAGTCATTCGAGCTTGGAATAGGAAAATTAGAGAGCTTATTCCTTTCTTCACCGTTAGGGGTTATTTGGCTTGCCGGCGAACTGGAGGCCGATACCGTGGATTGAATGCCGTTTGGAATCGAGGCTGCTTACCGGAGAATTTATCGCGCTCTGCAGAACGGGACATTGCGCCGAGATTTTGAATTTTAGGTCTTAGCTGTTTCAAAGCTCGATCCTTTCTTCTTACTGTCTCAGATCTGATTTGCTGAGCTGAAGGGAGATTAGAAGGTATATTTTAACGTTGCGGGCAGTTTAATGTTAACCTAATTGAATTTAGGGCTTATTTTTTCATGCAGGAGACCGTGAGATCAGATGGTGCAGGGAAGAAGAAAAGCTCTTCTGGATGTTTGATTATCATGAAAAAAGGTAACGGAGCGGTGGCTCCTCAAAGGGTTGCTACTGGGTCTTTGCAGAAGAGCAAAACGAAGAGACGAAGAGTGATTTCAGATGATTCAGAGTCTGGTGAGGAGTTGCTAGAAGCTTGTAAGAGAAAAGCTGACGAATTATCTTACAATAGCCCTGCAACGCACAAGAGTGGGGTTAAGGGGAATAATAATTCCGAAAGTGATGCGAAACGGAGTAGGTTAGATTCTTTTGACTTTGACGAGTATGATGAATTTGACGAGACCGTTGCGAGGGATGGATATGAGGATGTGATTGAAAAAGGAACAGGGAGTTCTAGGGAATTCAGAAAAGGGTCTAGTGGGAAAATGATGTTGGAAAAAAGTAGGGACTTGAATTTTGACTGTTCATTAAATGCTTCGAGGAGCAGAAATAAGGGGTTTAAGGGTGCAGCTAAGAATAGGATTTCCAGCGAGGAAGATGATGCAGATTTGCCCATCTCGGTGCTTAAGTTGAAGCATCAGCAAGCGTCAAATGATTCGATCAGGTTGCAGGGGAAAAATGGGGTCTTGAAGGTAATGGTGAATAAAAAGTTGGATTTATCACATAAGAAGCATGATTTCCATGCTTCGAAAAGTAGGAAATGTTCAACGTCTGAGAACGTAACCAACAAGAATCCAGAAGTCCAACCAATCATTTACATGGGTTCTGAAATCTCTGAAAAGCAACATTTGTCTCTTCAAAGGGATAAGAATAAGATGAAATCCTGCAAAGTATTTATGAAAACAAATACTCCAGCCAGTGATTCAGAAACAGATGGAACTGATAAATCACCAAAGAGGGCTCCAATAGCTATACCAGCTGGTAATTCACGACAACAACAAGAACATCAACAGCCTACCCAGTTGATTCCCATGGCGGGTAACTCACTGAAAATGGTTGAAAAGGAAAAGAATAAATTTTCAACTGCTAAAACCATTTCTCCCGTTAATTCTCCCATTAATAAAGAAGGGAAAACTAAGCGCAATACCAGCACTGAGAAACAACAGCTGCGTGAGAAAATTAGGAGAATTTTGATGGATGCTGGCTGGACTATTGATTATAGACCAAGACGGAACAGGGATTACCTAGATGCAGTTTACATAAGTCCTTGTGGAACAGCCTATTGGTCTATAGTTAAGGCTTATGATGCTTTTTTAAAACAGTTGGAGGATGATGGCGATAGAAATAAATCTGCTCACGTATCTGCTCCGTTTTCTCCTTTATTGGAAGATATAAATAAGCTAACTAGACAAACTAGAAAGAAAACTGAGAGAGAACTGAAAAAGAAGAGAGATGATGGTGCCAGTAATGGTTACAAGAAGACTTCTAGAAGAGAGTCTGCCCAAGGCACAAAAAGTGATAAGCATGATGAACCATTCAGTAGCTGCATAAGGAATAATGGTAACTTACTGAAAGGAAAGCTTCATGCAAGGTATCAAAGAAATGAGTTTGATACACACAAAAGTATCTCGATCTCAGAAGATAGGAGACTTATGAACACAAAATCCATTGTAGCACCTGCTTGTAGTTTAATCCGGGGAAGAAAAAGTAAAATAGCCGGAAGATGTACTCTGTTGGTTCGTAGCTCTGAGAAAGGACAGAATTTTGAAATTGATGAGTATATTCATTATCCTGGAAAAAGAACATTATTGGCATGGATGATAGACTCGGGAACAGTGAAACTTAGTGAAAAGGTTCAATATATGAACCGTAGAAAAACACGTATATTGCTAGAAGGCTGGATCACACGAGATGGCATTCACTGTCGTTGCTGTAGTAAAATCCTCACAGTTTCTAAGTTTGAGCTCCATGCTGGGAGCAAATCGCGTCAACCCTTTCAAAACATAGTTTTGGAATGTGGAGTTTCTCTGTTGCAGTGCCTTATAGATGCATGGAATAGGCAAGACGAGTCAGAACGGAAGGGTTTCTATTCTATAAAAATTGATGGTGATGATCCAAATGATGATACCTGTGGTATATGTGCTGACGGAGGGGATCTGATCTGCTGTGATGGATGTCCATCAACTTTCCATCAGAGCTGTCTTGGAATAATGGTACTTGCCGATCTGCATAAGTTCTGTCGATCTTCTGTTGTTTTCGTCTTGCTTCATGCTTTCCCATTCTCTAGAGCTCAATTTTACACATCCTTTTTGTTACATTCATAAATGCAGGATTTGTTGTTATGTTCCATGATGTGCATGTTGATTTTAAAATGAGTCTCGTTTTGGGATATGAGTCATATGTCCTTAACAACTATCTCAGCTCATTGTCATCTCATAGTATTTTCATCCATGTGGAAAAAACATATGATGATGATTTTTTTTGGAATTTCATCTCATCATTCACTTGCAAGAAGGTAGCAACTGGAAGGCTATCTGGAACAAAACAATGACACTATACTTTTTAAGGATGAATCCATATTCCATAGTGTTGAATTACACTGGGGGACAACATGCCTATAGCCAACAGCAGCCTTTAGCAGCCTTAAGAGAGCCAACTTTGGATTCTTTTTCCTGGTAGCTAGCAACCCCAAAAGTGCCAACCTTGATTTCTTTGTTCTCGGTACCTTCATGCTATATATAGTGTATTTGTTTAAAATATCTGCATAACCAAAAGATTGTCTTCCTTTCTTTACGTTTCACATGGTATCTGACTATCTGAGTCACTCTTGTGTCCTAGGCCTGATCATCTCCCATAATTTTTGTCTTTAAAAACAGTGAATAGAGAATCTTCAACACCAGTATTTTTCAAAAAACTTTCTCAATCTCATAAGTCACAAGTGTCCTGGAAGACTTTCTACTGATTTTGTCAAATGTCAATCTGTCACACTCAAGGACCAATTAGCAAAGAAGACCATTACCACCCAATTCCACCCAGGGGACTATCATTTCTCTTACACAACCACTCTTGTTTGCACTACAACTTGACAATTTGGGGCATCCTAATCTCGCAAGTTCCAACCACCAGTCCATGCTGTGACTGCTGTCTAAAGTATATCTATTGAATGCAAGATTTGGGAAACATTCAAAGGCTTCTTATTCCAATATAATCAGAAATGTGCAATCAATCAATGCATCCATGTTCATACTAATGTTTGGAGACCAAGTCGTCGTCGTCGTTTGTTTTTAGAATTTAGGTACTTCATTATCTCATGGATGATTTCTCTCAGTACACTTAGATCTATTAGTGAAAAATTGATTTGCATCTATTGCCGAGCTAAAAGGGTCATTTTAACAATGCTTTAGGTTTGGGTAAATGTCACATTAAACCTCCCTGGCTTCTTACTTTCTACAGAGTTTTGGGTTGTAAATGGAGCAATGCATCAAAGGTCTAATCGAAACAATGTCTCTATTTTTTTACAGGGTAATGTTGCATTCACCTTAACCACCTAGACCCAACAGAGTTTGTTGTTGTGTTAGATAATAGATAACAATTGTATTAGTGTATTTGTAAATTTTCATAGAGTAAATTCTATAATTGGTCTTTCAAAATAGGAGTTTTTCCATATTTAGTCCTTTATTACCAAATATCACATCTGTGGCCCTTCATTTATGGGTATCTTTCCACGGACAATCCTTTTTTAAACCATTCGTGATGTTGGTGTTAAATTCAGGGCTAAAAGTCAAAAGTGTAATTTCACATGACCATACATCGTTCTTGTCAGAGGTGGTTGCTATTGATGTGTCATTTGTTCGCTGGAGTCTCCACCCAACGCAACCCTAGTCTACATCATCGCTGGTCGGAATCCGAGTCCGTAGCCATAATCATTGTCGTTGTATTGTCCGCCAAGCCGACAACAGAATACATGGTTGAACTAGGGTTGATGTAAAATACACTTTTAGCCCTTAATTTGATACCAACATGGCGGAAGGCCGAATAAGGACTATCCATAGAAAGGTACCATAAACGAAGGACTGCTTAGATTATGTTTGGTAAAAGAGAATTAAATATGGAAAACCCCTGGTTTTAAAGTACCAATTATAGAATTTACTCATTTTCCTAGTTGCAATCACACATAGGAAGACTATGAAGTCTTCTTTAAATATCTACATATATATCTTTTAGTCTTCTTTAAAAGTCTACGTGCTAATCTTTCACTCAATATGAGAACATATATACTCCTTGTATGCTCTCTCTATACTTCCATGGTATCAGAGCCATAGGAGTATTTCATTCTTCCAGAAAATTTGATCCGTTCTCTTCCAGAACATTAAATAAATTTGACCCTAGGGTTTCTACTTTTCAGAACTTTTGAACACAGAACTTTGAAACAGCATGCTGCAAGAGATGCGCCGAACACCGACGACCTAACCCACAAAGTTTACTACTTTACTGCCCATTTTCAACCCACAAGGTTTACATGGGCTGTGCTGCCTATGGCTACTGACTTAATTAAATGCACTGGCACGTGAAACACAATCTCAGGACACAGTTCAAATTGGTTGGTGGCTCTTGGTTTGTCCAAAACTGTAGATAATCTATTAGTGGTCAAATTCCAGTGTGTTGGTTCCATTTGCTCAGGTCCGCACTCCATTCATCTAGTCGTCCCTTTTCTTTTTAAGAACATTTTTTGGATATGTTTTAGCATATTGCTTAACAAGGACCTAGAATAACATTCTCTATTTGTTGGTTACTCGTTAGTGAATTTAACCGGCCTATAGTTGTCTTCCCTGCATACCATTATTTGTTATAATGACAGAGTAAAACTGTGGAAGACAAACATTTCTGGAGGCAATAAGTAATAACCTATATGCTTAAAAACTATGGAGAATAGTGTTTGAACTCATTACCAAGAGCGTGAATCATTTATCTACCTCTATCTGTGTTAGAACCGGTCCAGGTAATCCAAATACATGTCTTGCTTCATCATAGTCCAAATGGGTCATCGAATCTGGTGCACAATCATGTGACAGGTAAGCCTAGTGTATTGGTCTCTATAACTCTCTCTTATACACATCTACAACAAGTCAACCACACTGTGCTGTGGGGTAGGAACACCTTTTGAACTGTGAGTTGGACATCCTTGCCTTTAGGCATTGAAGAAAACATATTTCCAGTTTTTAATGTGTCATCTTTATTGTGTGTGTCGTCTCAGTTTGCGATACACCATTGCAGTATCGCACATCAAGTCTCAGTCCTCAAGTGAACAGATGTGCACGCGTCAAACAATTAAACTTATTCACTCTCATGTTTGAGGTGTTTGCCCTGTTGCGTGACTTGTGTCCTTGTTCTGTTTATTATACTCCCTCTGTCCTGAAACTTTCTTCCCAAGCACTACTCTCACGTTCAAACTTTAATCACTCTCTTTTTCTATTTTCGTTAGTCATTTGATAAAAACATATAGCCATGCCACCTCTTGTTTTGTACAACTTTTGGTGTAGTTTTCAAATATACAAATTTTATTTTTTAATTTTACACCTATAATCAAACAAATTGAATTGAAAATAACTTCACTCAAACCTCGTAAACCAAAACCGAAAGAATGTTTTAGGACGGAGTGAGTACTAATTTATTACTGTTGTGGATGATTAGTCTTGTATGACCAGGTTATACTTGATGAAAATTGAAAAGTAGATATAATTTGTTTTTCCTTTATTGTGCTGAAATCAAATTTCAGTTTAATGTTCCTGTTTGAATAATGAGAGGAGATAATGCTGAAGAATACTATTATGATTCGTTTAGATCATACACAATGAGAGTTTTGCCTTGCTGGGTATACCTGAGATTCAGATCTGAACTCTCAAGTACTCTCGTGTTATTCTGTCTTTTTTTTCTATACCAATGCTTTCTATCTCTTTCTTCTTTAAAAAATTGAGGGGAAAAATTTTATATTAGAAAACAAAGAACAACCCTCACTCTCTCAGCTCTGTAAATTTGTGATATGAAATTTGTGGTGATGTCTACCAGCATGATGTCTCCTTGTGCCTAAAAAAGAACTTGTAGTAATGAGTTACTTATGCTGATGGCTGCTTATCTCCAATAAGGCACTAAGGGCCTATTTGATGAGCAAAAGAGATATGGGTTTTGATATCTTCAGACATAAGAATTCTTTTTTGGTGTTTGGTGAAGACTAAACAGTTTTTGGATTTGATATCTTGAGACATCAAAACCCTTCTAAATGAATTTTAGGAGGGAGTTTTGGTATCTCCTGAATTTGAAAGATATCAATATCGGGGGTTTGATATCTCCCTTAACTATCGATCACCCCTGTCACAAGCTAACACCATTGCCCACCCACCGCCACTCCTTCCCTCTTACCGGGTGCTACCGTCTATCACTAAAAATCACGATTTTAAATCTTTCCGAACACCTTCATTTCATATTCCAGAACCGATATGATTTCTTCTAGATTTCTCAACTCATATCATATCGATCCTCCAAAACTCAACAAACTAGTCCTAAGTTTTTTGAAATATACTGTATTAAAGGTCATATAGTATGCACAGAAAGCCATTGCCCAGTGGCAGAGCGGCAATGCTCCATTACTTCTAGGAACACAAGGTCCTGAGTTCAATCCCATGCTCCCCCAAGTGAGTGATTTGTCGGCACAGTTTTGGTGGGGCCTGGGCTGCAAGAGTTTGCAGGGGCCATCTGGCCATAGAACCCCGTGGTGACAAAAAGAGGTCATATTATATATTTGTATCATTTTATGTTTTTTCTTATGCCATTTATCTTTATTTAAATATCTTAGATATATTGTATTTGAATTTGATCATGTATGTTATAATTCAAAACTCGATACAACTCATACAAGCCAAGATTAGGAAAATTGGCTGTCCAATTCAGAACTTGAATCTTACTTTAATAAGCTTGGTATTAACCTTGTAATTTTGTTCATTTCATTGTTAATATAGGTGAAGCTAGTGTTAACTAGTGTTATTAATTAATTGACACTATCAATATTATGCCATCTGCCCCAACAAAGTTGAGAATAATGTGGCTATGGTGATGATGGCATAAATGCAGAATTTGATATCCTTCATGAAAAAGAAGGGATCAAATTTCTACCCTTCATGCTGCAGGCTTATTCGCTTAATCACATTTTTTAATCATAACACCATTCGTCAACTCTGAAACTGTCCAAAAAGTAAAGAAACCTTGAAGGATTTCTTTCATTCACTCTTCTCAAATCGTGATTTGGAGGATGAATTTTAAGTCAAACCTAAGCTGGAGAGACTTTATTCAAGAACAAAGACAACAGACCTGTATAATCCCAACTTTGTTGGGCTACCACTTAAAAAAACAGAAAGGCGGTTTCAATGACTTTTGATGCATTGCTGCATTTACTGCCCTAAATGTAATAGAAAGTAAGAATCAAGCTAAATTTAATGTACTATTTTTATTTAGTTCATTATTTACCAAAAGTCAAAACATTTTTCAAAAGATCATTAAATAATTAAAAGATCATAAAATATTGATAATTTGACAATTAATATAAAACCTAGTCCTCTTCTGCTTGTCATTCCAAAATAAAAAGCACAACTAACATATTTAAAAAGCACAACTAACATAAAGAAAGGTGAGCCTTTTTCTTTTTACTTCTTTTTCATATGAAGTAATCATGGAAAGCAATCATATCTATCATATGCAATTATATGCATCATTTTCTGTGGCACTTTTTTTTACGGTATTTTCTGTGGCACTTTAGTGCTGACTGTCTTCAACTCCCTGTAGATGCTTCCTGCTGGCGATTGGCACTGCCCATATTGTGTATGCAAATTTTGTGGTATTGCTCATGAAAGTCTGATGGAAGACAATATGGGTACAAATGAACTTCACTTGTGCATCCTTTGCGAGAAGAAATGTAAGATGATATGTTGTTTTGAAATTTATTTTGATGTTTAATGGTTGTTTTTTCACTTGAATCGCTGTTCCCTATTTACTTGAAGTTCCACATACTTGACAGATCACAAATTATGTGGAGAAGATTTTAAGGTTGACAACGTTTTACATGTGAAGAACAAAGTTCCATTTACATCTTTCTGTGGACAAACATGCCAAGAGGTATTGCCATATAGTTCTCTATTTGATTACTTGCGATCTTCATATTACATTTTTCCCCTTTTTAATATAAATGTGCATCCTATCAAGGAGTTGCTTTTACTTGTTGACAATTGGTATGCCTTATCATGCTAAAACAGACAACTTCATTACTTGTTTTATTGAACGTTTCTGATTTAGACCCCATTGAGTTGCATCATGTGTACTCTTTTAGATCGAGTGATCTGTCAAAAACAAATGGTTTTGGAGTGAGCGAACCTATGAAGATTATCATAGTTCTTGATATATGAAAACAATAAACAGCTAAATAATGAAAACTTTGGTCTTGTGATTTCATCATTGGTCATAGGCACCCTCACTTGCAAGCTTGTAGTTTATTGCTGCCATAATCACACTACTCTTGATTCAAGATGGTTCTGGAAAACAGAGTTGTATAAAATAGAAATTATGTTATCTTGTTTATGTAGCTCTATGACCAATTAGGGAAGATTGCTGGAGTCAAGCATGAACTAGAAGCAGGATTCTCTTGGTCTATTATCCAACGGACAGATTTAGATTCTAATACATCACATTGTGACTTTCCTCAAAGAGTAGAGAGCAACTCAAAGCTGGCTGTTGCATTGTCTATCATGGATGAATGCTTTTTGCCAATAGTAGACCGAAGAAGCGAGATTAATATAATTCACAATGTCGTTTATAACTGTGGGTAAGCTGCAGCTCTCTAATGTTATAATTTAGTATATACTTTTTTGCAGCTGGTAAAGACATTTTTCAAAAGGTGGATAAGGTCCAATTTTTCCTTCTACCTTTTGCAATTCATCACATACACGGATATACCCTTGCTTGTACTGAGCCAAATGTCACATAGACTTGCCAACTCAAAAAGATCAATTGGGACATTTAATCTGAATGTAACCTGCTTTTGCAGGGCATGTTGTTACATAAGTTTTAGCATTGCTCATTTGCTCCCATGTTCTTTTTTTCTAAGGGAAGGATGTCTCATCATCTTCTTCTCTAATTTTTCTCTTAAAAAAAATAAAAATAAATCATCATCTTACTTCAATAGACAGCAACAGACAAAAATTGGAAACACAAGAAACATGTATCTTGAATTCTAATACACCGCCCATTAATTTGTTTTGACTGAAAATTCATATTCGTACCCAAGAGTTATGGGAACGATAATACAACAAACCACTTCAATTATGGAACTGCAAAAGTCAACAATCATATCTCTAGGACCAAATAAGCATTATTCATCGCCTTTTACAAGATTCTTTGTGGGAAATGCTAGAGTCACTAACAAAACAATCACAAAATGCACAAACTTACCATTTGTGTAATTTAGTTTTTCTTTTTTAATTATTTGGGACCATAATTTGAGATCATTATTTTACATATTTGGTAAATTTGTGCATTTTGTGAGAGTTTTGTTTGTGACTAGCATTGTCTTATTGTTTGTCTTCACTCTGATCCTGCAAAAGCTTAAATATGGAACTTCGGCTAAACTACATCATGTAAAAACAAATCATGGGTATTTTGGATTAATTGACGTATTATAGGAATTAATAGAGAAAACCAAAACAGTGTAGATAATAAGTAAGAATTGCAGAAACAAAGAAGGAAATGATGCGGAAGGAATTTGAAGGTCATATTTGAAAAAAAACAAGAATCGTGTAAAGAAGTGTTGACGAAGAATGATGGTATGGTCTCCATGTGTACAAAAAAGCGCCACGAAAGCACATAATCAGTTAAAGATGTTCACATTCAGGTTAAATGACTTAATTAGTCATTTCCAATGTATTGGCAAGTTTATGTGACACTTCGGTGCAAAGCTTTATGTGATTGATTGCAAAAAGTAGAAAGGCATATTTGATGCATATCTTTTTCAAAGCAAAATGTTTTAGCGAAACCTGTGGTACTTTGACTGTCTTCTACAGAAATGTTTTTTATGCTTTCAAGCATATTAAATTTTGTGTATTACATACTTTTCCTCAGTACTCTCTGCTCAGTACTTTAGTGGATTCGTACTTCGTTTTGAACACTAACTATTCAAGTCCTTTCTCCCACTTTCCCTTACAGGTCAAATTTTAGTCGTCTTAGTTTTTGTGGATTCTACACTGCAATCTTAGAAAGGGGTGATGAGATTGTTTGTGCAGCATCACTAAGGTATGCTGTTCTCTGTAACATTATGTTTGTTTTGTATTTGATTTTAAAACAAGTCTCATATGCAAAATTATTCATTAATAATGATAGTCTTGAAAAGCAAATTTTCATGAGTTAACCTTTATGCTAATTTTAGGACCTGAATATGTGTGCTCTTTTTCACTCTTCGTTCTTTCCCAATCTGATGATTACAGTCTCTTGATAGACAAACAAAGAAGACTATTTGGCTGTTTTGAAACAGATTTGGTTCAATAAAACTGCTACTACTATTTTGGTTGTTTTGAAACTAATGAGGTTTTAAAATTTTATTTTCTGACATATTTCATCTTGCAATGACCCTCACCCTCTGAATAAATAAATAAAAAATAAATTGTGGAAAGTAGTTGTGCAATGCTAGAATATGCTTTAGTGTTTGCATGTCTAGACTCTAGAAGAAACAATTGTACTCAAGATATACTCATTTGTTGCAAGGCTTGGTCTCATTACATACAACGTAGGTAAATATACCTGTAAATGCTAGTCTTTCTTCTCATATGAATACTAAGGATGTGTGAGACTGGTAGTATTGCAAGAATTCTGGTCACACCATGGAACATTGCTGATAACTCTATCAAAAGGTCATCACAATCAGTCAACAAAGCCCAGGCTTCTAGATTTGCAATCATTACTGTTTTCTCCCTCACGCTTTCCAACCATGAATTTGAGAAGTACTTCAGGTCAAAGCCCCTAAATATTATGCTCATGTAGGTCATATTGGTACCTCCTTTACTGCACCTATGCCCATGAAGTGTCATCCCTGTTCTTATTCAGGTGTATTTGATCATATATCTTGTAATCCACGTATTGTTTCCAGTTTCTAATCTTTTGCATTTGCAGTCCTTAGAAACAGCGACCCTATCTAATGAGTTGAAATCTTCCGCTAGGTCTTGATAGGGTCATCATCTGACCTGGGCAATCTGGACATCTAGTGCTGGTTTCGTACTATGGCGCCAGGAGGTTTGAGTGATGTTGGGACAGGGTTTGAGCAACCCACACCAACAATCAGCCTGGCTCGTCAACATGGAAGCCATGCCAGCATGGTATGTCTAGATTGCTGTCATTTTGTGTGTTTGCGATTGCGCACAGTGTGACAAATAACGGTCTGTAGGATAGGAACATAGGGAACTATATATTCTTAGCGGTGTGGCACTCTTGGTGCTTGTTAGAGTTCTCACATCAGAAAATAAAGATGAATACCACTAGCATATATAGAAGGGCGAAGCCCTACCTATCAGCTTAAGCTTTTGGGTTAGATTGTGGATCTCGACTTTATATGCAAATGGCTAATTTTATCCAATATTCCAACCGTTGTTCTCGGCCCATCGGAATTTTAACATGGTATGAGAGTAGGTCCGATCAGGGTTCAATTCTTCCTGGTTGTTGGACGTGGGTTTAGCAAATATGAGCTACCGGTCTGTGGTTTGGGTTGAGTTGGCTAAAATGAGATTGAGATGCCACGACCCTTTGTGTGGGCTAGCTATAAGAGATTAAGATGCTAGACCCGTTTGTTCAAGTGCTAACTTGGCCAGACTAGTTACCACTTGAGGGGAGTGTTAGAGTTCCCACATCGGAAAATAAAGATGAATACCACTAGCATAAATAGAAGGGTGAAGCGCTACCTATCAACTTAAGGTTTTGGATTAGAAAGTGGATCCCGACTTTATATGCAAGTGGCTAATTTTACCCGATACTTCACCCGTTGTTCTCGGCCCATCGGAATTTTAACAGTGCTTCTCCATTTAAAATAATGAAACTGACATTGTTCTCCCATAGCGTGTCTTGTCATGTGTGAGAGACACCTGTCACCCTGGAGTTTCATACCTGGGCTACTTTAGGAACTACACTGTGTCAAAGAGGGTTCAATTTTTAAGTTCTATTGCAAGGGTCTAATTTATCATTCCTTGTCTTAGGTCCAACTAATTATCAGTCCTTGTCTTAGGTCCACACACAAATAGCTTTGAAAAAATGATATGTAATGTTTACCTCTAAAGTAAACCAATTCAAGCCAACAACAACAACCCAGTTGAAGCCGCCGCTGCCAACAACACTTTTTGACTCCCACCAATTCAGGCCAACTAATTTCACTTATTTGTAGCCGACTGTATGATTTAGCCAACTAATTCCGTTCATTGCTGATGGAGCTATTAGAGGCATAAATGACCAGTGCTTTAGTTTTGGGCACAGAATGGATTAAATCAAAAAATCACTTTAGGTTTCCCTTGCTTCTTAGTTTCTATAAAGTTTTGGGTAGTAAATGCAGCACTGCATCTAGGGTATAACAAAAATGACCTCTCCATCTTTACAGGGGTAAGACTGCATGTATCTTGACCTTTCAACCCCAACGAAGTTAAGATTATACTAGGTTACTGTTGTTGTTGTTGATCTTATCATCTCTACTACAAGCTTCGTACTCATCAGATCTTGTTTAACTATCTCTAGTCACCTAGAATATCTTTGAAAGTGGCTAAATCATATCACATGGTTCTATCCCATCTTGTCTCGATTAGTATTACTCCTACTTTCTCTCATAATATCAATCTCAGTTTTCCAAGTTTTTCTTCACTTATATTTCCATCTCAAAGTTCTCATGGTGATATTTTCTTGACATGTTGACACTTCCTTGTTCTACATTGCGTCTATGTTTAAAAGAATATCCATTATATGATATCGTAAAGAGCTTCCTTTAAGCCCTATTGATTTGATGACCAATATCTTTGATAAATTTCTCATGTTGTATTATTTGTTACTGTAATTCATCTCTTATTGATTTCACTTTTTGAATAGGTTTTGTTGCATTTACATTCCACATTGTCTCTCTCGGATATATTTTGTTTAAATTTTTTAGATTTTATCATTGACATTCATAATTGAAGCTTACAAATTCATCCATAATTGTGCTATCTGTGTTACTTGAGCCATGGGTCTCTTGCAAATAGCCTCCCTATTTTAGAGTAGGCCCTAGTGGTAAGGTCTGCGCACACACACACCTCCCCCATACCCTAATCTCCCTAATCTCATGGGATTCATTTGAGTTGTTGTCGTAAGTACAATGTCATAGGGACATTGGGAAATAACGTGCACCAAGAGACCCCACCTCAAATTTTGCTAGTGAGGTTGTCCATGATTACTTCAAATGATTACAAATCCTTGGTGAAGTCCTAATTATAATTTGCAACATTCTAGTTTCTCCTTCGAGTATCCTCAAACTATATATTGCTCCTTTGTACAAATCCATATCTCTCTTCACCTCTCTATGAGTCACATCATGCATATTTCTTCAACACTCCAATTTCCACTAGACATCTCTAGAAACTTGATCATATGATTTCTCCAATTCTCCTTGTCAATAAACACCATGTGTAAGTCTTCTTAATATCTTTGGTAGTCTCCAATTAGCCTCCTTGACAAGGTTTATAGCTTCCACTTATCCACTACGGAGTATATGTTTTGTTTTTGGCATATCTAGCTCATTTTTTGCTACTTGCATTGTTAAATTTGAAACCTTCTATGCGCCAATTTATAGTTGACTTTTGCATATAGGTGGTTTGGCATTTTTCTGATGTCGGGAGTGGAGGTGAAGAACGATTCTCATCCCATCGGTACCTTGGAACTTTCATTCAAGCCGAAGGAGAAATTGATGGGGACCGGGGTTGATGGCGAAATTGATGGGAACTGGGGTCGATGGAGAAATTCGTGGGGACGGGTTGATGGAGAAATTGATAGGGATGTCGCTCATCGTATTATAGCAGGCTAGATGAAATGGAGGCTCGCTTTTGGAGTCTTGTGCAATATTAACGTGCCCTGAAGGCTGAAACTAAGAAACAAATTTTGTTGAGCAGTGTTTGGTCTGCTATGTTGTATGGGGGTAGCCAATAAAGAGCATGCATGTGCAGAAACTGAGATGTTTAGGTGGATATGTGATTTTATTATGAGGGATAGAACTAGAACAACTATATCTGGGACACGATTGGCTTTTGTGGAGGATATGAAGTGTAAAGAGAGTTTTATGTGGTTTGGGCACGTGTAGAGGAAGATTATTGAGTGCCCCTCTGAGAAGGTGCAAGAGCTTGGCAATACGAATTTGAGGGGTAGGTAGATTGACAAAGAGTTTGAGAAAGTGCGAGAGCTTGGCAGTAGAGAACTAGGGGGGTTGGTAGACTGATGAAGAGTGGGGTGAGCAGATCACCGTGGAAATGAACCAAGATAGGATGTTTTGGAGGTCTAGATTAAAGTTGTAGGGTAGTTGGGTACTCGGGTTACCACTTACCAGGCGTTTACTTCGTTTGCTCTGTGTGTAGTTAGGATCTAGTGGATAAGCTAGGTACAATGGGGTGTTTACTTTGTGACCCTATATTTGTAGTGTATCTTTCTCCACTCCTTCATATTTCTTTTATTGGTTTACCTTCACTTATACTTCCTGGGCAATTATAATAGCATCTTATAGGTAGGGGTAATGTCCACGTACACCTGCCTCAGACCCCGGTTTGGGGTATCCCTAAGCAGGATGTTGTTGTTTGCCTTAAAAAGAAAGCTTTCTGCCATCCTTGTCTAGCTTAGTAGTTCATTTTTGCTTGCTGATACTTGAGTGTTTGTAGATTTCTTAGCCAGATTCATATTCATCCATGTTAGTTCTACATTTGGCATTATTGAAAAAAACTAAAAATAGATAGTAATCATATATGACACACAAATTGTAGCATCTGTGTTACCTGTACTTTTGTGGCACGTTTTAAGAAGTTTTAAAAATAGTAAATATGGATCATATATTGTTGTTTTATCAGGATCCATGGCACACAACTTGCTGAAATGCCATTTATCGGGACACGCCATATTTATAGGCGTAAAGGGATGTGTCGGCGGCTATTATCTGCTATTGAGATGGTACGATCAATATTATGTGTTGCATGTTTTAATCTGACTATGTATGTTTAGAGTTTAAATAAATCGAGTTCTGTATATTGTTATTTGATTTAAAGTAATACTACTCCCTCTGTCCTGGAATTCTATTTGTTTTCCTAATAATTTGTACGGAGTACGTTATTAAAAAGCAAGCCTAATCAAAACAAGAATAAAATGATGGGAGTAGTATATATGTATTCATCACCAATGGAGCTAATAGAGTCATTTTTGGCAACGTTTTAGCTTTCAGTAAAACTGCACAAAATCAAAATGGCACATTACACTTCCCTTGGTTTTATCTTCTATGAAGTTTTGGGCAGTAAATGCATCAAGGGTCTAATGGAAACAACCACAACCTCTCTGTTTTTA